GCTGTCACTTTCCCGGCCTGCCGACCTCTATCGCGGACGAATCTCCCGGACCCTCGACCGCCCTTATCATCGTCGCGAATCTTGTTTAAGACGAGTTGTGACCGGGGAAATACGTGAATACCAGCAGATGTCGTTCTATTTTTACGCGACCGAGATACGCGGGTGCTTTCGCTTCGAATTCAAACGAAATTCTGTAAAAAACGCAGGAAATGCGCGAATACAATGCAGTGGAAAATTCGCATTTAGCGGTTCAGCATAATTGCGGGCCGCGCGCTTTGAGCAAGCCTGTAAGCGCGAACGTTTCCCTCCCGTGCTATCAGTACAAGAAGAATGTCCCATTCATACTTTTATGCGTCATTTACGGACGCGTTATGTACCATATCAGTCTTATCAGTACTTCTACGCCGCCTACAATTTAATATGCGTGTGCGTGTATGTGCGCGAGCGTGACTATGTAGGGCTATCGACGCTGAAAAGGGTCGCAGAAAACGCTACCTGGCAATGCAACAGCCGTCCATCTCGCTGCTGCTAAGAATTCAATGCAGCTCTTTTGCATGCCGTATGTGAAGCGCACGAGACAAGAAAAAGAAATAATTCTAAATATATTAGAATAAAAATGCTGTTTTAAACACAAACGTATCTATTTGCCTTTCCAATGAGCACTTCACCGAAGGTATTGTTGAAGGAATATTTTCTGGCGTATGTCATAGATTGAATGCACAGAATAAATTTTAGTTGCACAGCTGTCAATTGAAATGTAGATGCGTATGCGTTAAATGCACAGAGGGGAAATAAGTTCACTAAAATTATATTTATAATAAACAAATTATATTTATATTATTTTCACAGTCTCAACTATATCATCTTGTTGTTCTAACAAAAAACAGTACATCAAGAGAAAAAGTGTTTGAAAAATAAGAATATTTATTCGATAAATACTTGTAACATATTTACTTGTAACGATGTACATATTTTTATATTGCGAAAAAATGTTTCTCAAATGAGAAAATATATATTTTCTTAAAATTGTTACTTTCCACGAAAGCAATTGATTATTTTATTCGAACAAAAAAATTGTGATTTAAATGAATATATTATTAGTACCCATCGAATAAATATCTTTATATAAATATATTTATATAAATATCTTCATTTTTTTTTTTCAGTATAACAACATGCATATAAGAGATTATTCTCATTAACACTGTAGTAACACTTACTACAAAAATAATTTTCTCGGCTACAATTCTCTCATTTTGCAACTATAATTAATCAGTTTTTTCACGCCAAATACTTTTTTCTCTGTAGACTTACGATTGTTTTTCCTTACATTCGCTTCATAAGGTAAATAATTGAATTTCAGCCCAATGATTGAAATATTAAAAATATATCTGTATTTAATATTTTTAAAAACGTCTCTGAAATTTTGTTAAAAATTTATAAATATTTTGTTAACTATTTATTTATGCCTCCTTCCCAACTTGTAATATTATTTAATGATTATTCAATTATTAAGTCTATATTATTGAGTAATTAGAACATAATTTATTTTTAGTTTAATTACTGATATAACTAACATTACTTGATATATCTCATTAAAATTATAATTAATATTTATTGATTATTTTATTTTTTATTATTTCTAACTAGATTGCTAACAAACTAAGATTCTATATAAACGTTACTTTTCTTTGTAATTCTACTAATCACTCATCAATAAAAATGCAAAACTGAGCGTGCTTTTTAATTAATTCAGTTATTAGGACATTTACCTTGTGTTTCAAACGTAGAAGTAGACAAAACGGATTCCGCTCGATCGCGCATCCGCAGCGAAGACAAACGGCTATCTGCGCGAAATATCAGCTTTAACTATGTTTCGAGTGCCGCCAAAGGCGACGATATGGACACGCGCGCCGTTAATCCGCGAACATGCGCCGTTATTTCGCGAGAATTTGTCAAACTCTCGCTCGCTCACTCTCGCTCGATCTATCTCTTTCTCTCACTCTTTCTCCCTCGTGCAGGCTCACGACAAGCGGCGTCGCTAATTGGATGCAAGATACGAAACTACGTTTCACTAGGACGAATCCATTAATATCGCCTTCGACAGACGAGCTCGCGCAAACCCGGTGGTCCAACGAGGGAGGATTTCTCGCGTCGTCATTAATCACTGAAACAGGAACGGGGCTCGGGTCGCTTAGAAAGCGTCTGATTTCTCGCAAAAACATCGCCGTGTCGGCGAGAATCTGCCTCTCGCGCGTTTTTCTCAAGTCGCTCGTAAATTAATCCCGCACAACGGAACTTAACAATTCCCAACGAATCCAATATTTAGAGTACGAAATTGTATTGGGTGTACGAGTATAAGCGCGAGCGCGTGTTGCTGTTAGCGCGCGCGAAAATCAACGCTTATGCGCGTATTGAAGTCTCTCAGTCGCGTGACTCGCGCGGACGCGCGCGGCTTGACATCAAGCGATTTCTGCCTGAAATTGCTTCGAATATTAAGACATGAATGTTATCTACTGTTAGCTGTTACTTACAGTATTAGCTCTATTTCACAATGAAATAGAGGATTCAGATGAACACAAATGTCCTGCACCGTTTCGCGATAACTATCGAGATATTAATTAAAGAAGATTTGTAAGTGATAACGCTCGATATAGTGGATGAGCTGTAATGAAGACGTCTGCTGTTGTGTGCTTGTATATGAGGTCAAACCGAACAAAAAAGCCCTCTATCATTTTACAAATGACTACGTAAATTTTTAGTTATTAATTAAAAAAGATTGGGACATATTATCACGCAATATCGTGCAACAATTTTTTTTAATTCATAATTAAAGATCTACGTGATTATTTCCAAAATGGTAGAAGACTTTTTTGTTCAGTTCACATAATGTACAAGCATCCATCGATAGACATCACCATTACAACTCATCTGCCATATCATGCATGATCATTTATATATTTTGTACAATTAATATCTCTATCATTATTGCAATTTTCACAAAACGGTATTGGATTTTTTTGTTCATCTCAATCCATTCTACGTTTTCATGAGACATTGTAAAATCCAAAATAGGACATCCTGTATATATAAAACAGAATATCCGTTTGCCTTGTATATTCCTTGTATATTCCTAAACCCTTTGATCGAACCAAATTTTGCATAATTACTCTCTATTTATTCTGCAGAAAATATCCAGGCCATCATGAAATATTTATAATTGTTAGGCTTGATTTAGAATCACGTTGGTCCTTGCAAACTATGGTTCTATATATTCTTTATTTACTGAATTACAAAACTTGAGAGTCGAGACGTTGACGTTATGACGCCCTTCCGCAACGGTACTTAACTTAACACTACTAGAGAGCCTGTCGAGGAGGAGGACTACCACGACATCTCTCGACTAAACAATATAGCTTATAAATATAGACGACAAAAATCAGAGACATCTCACGCTTATACAATAATAAATATAAATTATATTTATATTATAATTATTTTTAGTGCCAACTATACTTTCTTGATGTTCTAAGAAAAAACAATTTAAACAAAAGAACTATTCAAACGAAAGAATTTAGATTTAGTATTAAATTCCCCAATATCTTTTGATTTCATTCCCTTGATATCTTATGATAATCTGGACAATGGCGACTAGTTTAATATTAGATAAAACGAACATCTTTGTAGATAATTTTATACTATAATACTTATAAATATAATGCATTATATTTTTCATTGTTATTTATAATAACTCTTATAAAAATTAATTTTTAGGATATATATGATTTTCGTACACTACTAAACAGTTTAATTTGTTATGAATTATTTTGAAGTAGCATGTATTAATATATTGATAACATTTTATTACGCATAAACACTAATAATTTACAATATTTTTTTCTGCTACAATGTTTATTTATCTTACTTCTTATAATACAATATACTCATATAATGTATCATCTGTAGGTAAATCTTCTTTCTGTACATAAAGTGGATCGTCGTGCCATCTACTGTATAACGTGAGTAATACAACGATCATTAAACAAAACGATTGGTTTAATTTTCCATCAATATTTTAATTACCAGTAGACTTACAAAAGCAATAAATATGCATTTGTAATTAAAGATAATAATATAATTAACATTTTATTAGAATTAGAACATAATTTTTATGTGGGTGGAGTGGAAAAGGGAAATATACAATTGAAAGATTTAGAGTCATATTGGTCATACAGATGCAAGAAAATAATATAAAATTTCTTTATTCTAGTTTACATCGCTCATATATAATATAAATAGAAGACATTGTTTCTCTTTCTCTATCTTTCTATACATTATTTGACTATCTTTCAGATAAAAGCTCGTACAAAAATTGAATAATCTCTATAAAATCATGTGAACAACCGCGCGGCCATGTAAATAGACATAAACTGTCAACTAACGTGATATCTATCGTATCATATTTTATATCATTATTTTCGTTTGTCCATTAAAGGAGATTCTAAAGTCTCAAATAGCTTCTAACCTACGGTGATTTGGACGGACGTTTTGAAAGGCTCAGTCTTCTATTGGAATATAAGAAACTTATCCTTTTACCGGTTAATTAATTGTACAATATTGACACTTAAGTAGAAAGGCACTACGGTATAGCATTAATGTGAGATTCATATCGATGGAATCACGCGTTACACTCAACGCGGTTTAAAATTGCGACTTCTAAAAGCATTACCGAAGGTGCGCATATGATGTTGAATGTATGTGTATATATATATATATATATATATATATATATATATATATATATATATACATACACACACACATACACACATATACAGGGCTTTTCCTTCTAGTGGAAAGCGTTCCGGAACCTTTTCGTGGAAATAAAATTCTCAAAAAAGATTTGAAAGAAAACTGAGGAAGTTTGTGATATGTATAAAGTTTAAAAACTGTTTTAAGATTGATCTAAGCCTGTAGTGTATGA